GAATCCCACCGTGGCCGGGCATATTTTTCAAGCGCGCCCGGGGTGGATATGCACTCAGAGTAACATCACAAACATATTATTCACCTGAGTACACAACACCAGCACAGAAAAATTCATATTACAAGAACACATTGGTATTGAAGGAACTAGATACTGTTCCGAAATATCACTTACTCGAACCGTCCTGACCGCGTAGCTCAGTTGGAAGAGCATTGCGCTAGTATTCCAAAGGTCGTAGGTTCGAATCCCACCGTGACCGGGCATATTTTTCAAGCTCGCCCGGTGTGGATATGCACTCAGAGTAACATGGCAAACATATTATTCACCTGAGTACACAACACCAACACAGAGAAAAAAAAAATTCATATTACTAGAAGATATTGGTATTGAAGGAACCAGATACTGTTCCGAAATATCACTTACTCGAACCGTCCCGACTGCGTAGCTCAGTTGGAAGAGCATTGGGCTAGTATTCCAAAGGTCGTAGGTTCGAATCCCACCGTGGCCGGGCATATTTTCAAGCTCGCCCGGTGTGGATATGCACTCAGAGTAACATCACAAACATATTATTCACCTGGGTACACAAGACCAGCACAAAAAAAAAATTCATATTACAAGAACACATTGGTATTGAAGGAACTAGATACTGTTCCGAAATATCACTTACTCGAACCGTCCTGACCGCGTAGCTCAGTTGGAAGAGCATTGGGCTAGTATTCCAAAGGTCGTAGGTTCGAATCCCACCGTGGCCGGGCATATTTTTCAAGCTCGCCCGGTGTGGATATACACTTATAAGTAATAGCATAAAAAGAAGCGAATTAGCTATTAAAACGTCCCGCCCGATGAGGGTCGTTTAGTATAATTCCCTTGGGCGCCGCTCGATGAGGGTCATTTAGTAAAATTTTACTAAATGACCCGAATCGAGCGGCGCCCAAGGGAATTTTACTAAACGACCCTCATCGGGCGGGACGTTTCAATAGCTAATTCGCTTCTTTTTATGCTATTACCTTATAATATCATGATTGCGGGTATTCCCGTTGTTCTCGCAGGGCATTAAAAACCAATTAAAAATAAATAATGGTATAAATTAAATGGTACAATTGTTTTCCCTGTCTTTGTTTAGTTTTGGCGATTTCAGATATCTTCATTTATATTCGTTTTTTCTAATCGTACCCGCTTTGACGTCGTTTCGGGTAGGATTAGAACTAATTCTACCTGACATGACGTAAAAGCGGGTAGGATTAGAAAAAATGAATATAATGAGGTGTATTAGTTATTAATTGCCCTGCGAGAACAAAGGGAATACCTGCAATCATGATATTATCAGAGTAACATCACACAAACATCTTATTCACCTGAGTACATTACACCAACACAGCAGATTTCATGATTATTAGATTACACTGATATCGAAGGAACTAGACTCAGTTCCGAAATATCGCATACTCGAACAGTCCTGACCGCGTAGCTCAGTTGGAAGAGCATTGGGCTAGTATTCCAAAGGCCGTAGGTTCGAATCCCACCGTGGCCGGGCATATTTTTCAAGCTCGCCCGATGTGGATATGCACTCAGAGTAACATCGCAAACATATTATTCACCTGAGTACACAACACCAACACAGAAAAATTCATATTACCAGAACACATTGGTATTGAAGGAACTAGATACTGTTCCGAAATATCACTTACTCGAACCGTCCTGACCGCGTAGCTCAGTTGGAAGAGCATTGGGCTAGTATTCCAAAGGTCGTAGGTTCGAATCCCACCGTGGCCGGGCATATTTTTCAAGCTCGCCCGGTGTGGATATGCACTCAGAGTAACATCGCAAACATATTATTATTCACCTGGGTACACAACACCAACACAGAAAATTCATATTACATGAACACATTGGTATTGAAGGAACTAGATACTGTTCCGAAATATCACTTACTCGAACCGTCCTGACCGCGTAGCTCAGTTGAAAGAGCATTGGGCTAGTATTCCAAAGGTCGTAGGTTCGAATCCCACCGTGGCCGGGCATATTTTTCAAGCTTGCCCGGTGTGGATATGCACTCAGAGTAACATCGCAAACATATTATTCACCTGAGTACACAACACCAACACAGAAAAATTTAAATTAGAAGTATTTTGCCATGCGTCTCATCATGTACTATCTGTATGCAAAATTTCATTTGATTTGAGCCAATAATAACTGAGCTATGCTTCAGTTTACTATTCAATAAACATACTTACCCAGCCAATGACGTCACACGTTGTGCTGAATCAGCAACTTATATTTTGCACATTTTTGCGTATAACTTCGGAACCAGATCAAATAGAATAGAGCAGTAAACGGCCAATCGGCGTATTTTTTCATGCTCTTTCAGATAAAGCAATAAATTTTTTTATTGCCAATGTCCTTTAAGTACGAGCAAATTTACTGTGCTGTGCTACAGCAACTGCCACCCCTAGTGACATCCCTTAATATGGAATTCAACTATTGCTGTTGACAAGGCTACATGATGATGTAGCATCATTAAATAAAGTTTACATAGTACATACATACCCTAAAAAATCTGCTTGACCTGCATGACTGTGTCGATTTGTTGAAACAATTCACTCCAAATACTTTACATGTAGTTTATAAATATTATGTTTAAATGTGTATTCAACATATTGAGGTTGTTTATGAACAGCCATATTTTCAAATATACTGTACTTTCAGGGCCGTAGGAAGCTCTTTTCGATTGGGGGGCTGAAAGCGAGGGCCGAAGACCCGAGGAAATTTTTAAATTTAGAGTCTCTCAGAAGCCATTTCCTGGACTTTGGCAGGCCTTAAAATACCTTTTACATGGCCGTCTGACAAAATGTCCGGTGACGTTGAGTTTGGGTCGGACATGTATGTCCGATGACCTTCAGTTCAGTTTTGACTCGGAAATAAGTCTGAATGACACAAATGTATAAACGGTAAATGTTGTAAAGATATTAAATTATTTGTTTCTTTCATACTTATTTCCAAGCCAAAATTAACTTGCTTGCCAGAACAGCAGTGTTAGAAAAGACTTCGACAACTTAAGCCCGTTTTCCACTTCACCATTTCGCCGCGCTCGACTACGTTAAAACAACATTTCCAGTTCACCTTTTATACAATAGTACTATGATTTTCCATTTAACATACAAGCCTTTAGTCCTGGACTAGGGTACATTTTGATTTACGTCGGACAAAGCTACAGTCTGGTCGGACACCAATTCACTTGGGTCGGACAAAAAATAAACCTCAGTTTCACTTTGGTCGGACAGAATGTCCGGTGGTTTCCTCTCTACGTCGGACAATTTCACGAATGGGTCGGACAATGTCCGTGACCGACCGATATTTTAAGGCCTGGACTTTGGGGAAGATTTAACAGAATTCTGATGGTCAGAAAACAGAGTTTTAGTATGTCGAAATTTACAATTCAGTAGTACTAAATGGGCGAAGGTGTATTTAATTAACTATATATTGGATAAGTTGCAGGAAAGTATGGGTAATATCTTCATTCTTTGCAGTTTGTCATGGATTAAATGATAAAGGTCTGCATGATTTTGAAAAATGAACGATTATTAGCAAATTATTGGGGGGGGGGGCTGAAGAACCCCCCAGCCCCCCCCCCCCCGGTTGCTACGGCCCTGACTTTAACGAGCATATTTACTGTAGTGTGCTACAGCAACTGTCCAGGCAAGTATAGTGTGATAAAAAGCCGATATACAGTGTAAACTTTAATAAACAAATGGTAATGTAAAACGTAACACAATGGCGAACATTAGCCTCCTCCGTAGCCCGCAGGCGTCCGTAGAGAGGCCTGCGGAGGAAGCTAGGCGAACATGACGATTCCGGATTCTGCCATCTCCGATAATGGTAGTGTTGGGACAGTGGTTTTACAGACTGCAGAGGTGAGTGGGAATAATGCTCCCTGATGTACCACCCCATGGAAAACCTGAGGTTAGATCTGCCCTTACCTGCAAGCAATGACGGTTGGCCATTTTTTAATAAAGTTTCACATTTTCTGCAAATCTTTTGCTCTCATCAGAGAAAATTAGCTTGACCTCCTGCCAATTTTTTCCAAACCTTGGCCAAATGTTTCTTGAATTTTTGCTGGACTTTCCTGGCATTTCTTAAAATATTAGTGCCCCCCTGGGAGGGGGGGTGCAAGGAAGGTAGCTACAACATCGCCCCCAGTCAGTGTTTTGTCTGGCAGATTCCATAACTGGTACTTCCAGAAAAGATTAACACTCCCCCCCAAAAAAAAGTGTTTCTGATAATAGTAAGTGTATTAGGACAACCGTTAGGGGTAGGGGCATTAATTTCCTTTATGGGGGAAATATGGATCTTTTCTGGAATACCAAATATCAGGAACTTTTGTATGTGTGCTTCCCTTGCTATAATGTTTTTGTCTTGATATCAATATTTGCTAGATGTTTACTAGTGTAAAGCTCCGAAAATAGGTCGCTGGTAGAAATCGAGTCTGTGACCCTGCGATTCCTGTGCAGCGCCCTAACCAACTCAGCTACAGAGTACAGAGGCCAGTTGTCGAGCTCTAGCGTACTGCCATGCATGATCGTATGATCAGGTATCAAGATTTTGATATTTACAGATAACCTACACATTGCATTACCCTAGCACACGAACTGTTGGTTCGAGCTCGACAACTACATTTGGTTAGAGCGCTAGCTGCGGTATTAAAGTTTTCAATTTGCCATTATTGACTTTTTTCAGTTCAAAAATGAAATCATGTCAAGGTATGTTACACATTTTGTGATTTGGCGTGTACGATTCGTATTCTGACTGAGGTCACAAAAATTACAGCTGACGCCACAAGGCCCACAAATGCAATTCCTCTTCATTTAGTTTAAACAAAATTTGAAGGGGAAAAACGGTTTTCCGATTTTACCGGTTTACATTTGGACGGTTTTCCGGTTTTTATTTCAAACCTCTGCCAAATGTTACTTCAAACTTTGCTAGAGTTTCGTGGTATTCCTAAAAATAAAAAGAGGCCCTTAGAATCCACTATTGAAAATTACCGTATACGTACGCTGCAGCCCCCCTCCTCAGTCAGTGTTTAGTGGGACACATTCTATAATGGTTGTTCCAGGAAAGATCCACACTTCTGCCCAGCGTTCATGATCGATTTTTAAAAGAATAACCGTTAATTTATAAATCGTTGAATGGAAAGCAAAAAATCGTCAGCTAAAACAGTTTCTTGCTAACTTTCTGCTTTGTTTTGAATGTATTAAGCAATGGAACTTTGTTTCTGCCCGCGATTTTTTGGTCAGCGACGACAAATTTCCCACCTGTTTAGCACCCATGTTTCTCCGGAGGATAGAGGAAAGAGCCTGGAGGAAAGTTTCCCCGCACATCCTAACTTCCATCCATTGAAGTTCTTTGTTATATTTTCAGGTAATTAGATCGCTCAACCAAGATAACAAATTGCATTAAATCATGTCTGGTCATCGTAAAGAGACATCAGGCAGCTTACTAAAACACAAAAGAGCACACTCGGGAAACAAGTCTTATGAGTGTGATGTTGGTAACAAGAAATTTGGACACTCAAACAGTTTGACGTATGACAAAAAAACACACACTGAAGAAAAACGTCAAAAACCTTATGAATGCGATGTTTGTCAGAAGAGATCTGGACAGTCTGGCAACTTGATGAACCATAGAAGAACGGACACTGGCGAGAAAAGTTATGAATATGATGTTTGTAAGAAACGATTTCTACATTCAACCAACTTGAGGAACCATAGAAGAACACACACTGGGGAGAAACCTTATGAATGTGATGTTTGTAAGAAGAGATTTCCACATTCAATCAACTTGAGGAGCCATAGAAGAACACACACTGGCGAGAAACCTTATGAATGTGATGTTTGTAAGAAGAGATTTACACAGTGGTGCAGCTTGATGAATCATAGAAGAACGCACACTGGCGAGAAGCCTTATGAATGCGATGTTTGTAAGAAGAGATTTATACAGTCAACCAACTTGAGGAACCATAGAAGAACACACACCGGAGACAAACCTTATCAATGCGATGTTTGTAAGAAGAGATTTACAGAGTCTGGCCACTTGATGAGACATAGAAGAACACACACCGGAGACAAACCTTATGAATGCGATGTTTGTAAGAAGAGATTTACACAATCAATAGGCTTGGTGAGACATAGCAGGGCACACACCGGAGACAAACCCTATGAATGTGATGTTTGTAAGAAGAGATTTCTACGGTCGGGCACCATGGTGCTACATAAAAGAAGACACGCTAAAGAAAGGCCTCATCAATGTGATTTTTGCAAGAAAAGATTTATAAAAAAATCTTCGCTTACTTACCACAAAAAGCAACATTTGTTGTGCAACTCTTGCAGCAGAGAGATTGTTTATCCGCAAGATTTGAATGAACATTTTTTCCTGTTTGAACACGATGGAATATATAGATGCAGTAAATGTGATAAACGATGTATTAATTTCATGAGACTGGCACAACATATTGCTAAGGAACATGGAAACGATGGACATTATCAATGTGGTTTATGTCAAGAACTTGAATCAACAGAACCAACTGGTGTTGGATATGTTTGCTGTGTGTGTGATGTTGAATTTGTTGTTCCCAGAGAACTTGAAGATCACATGGCCACTCATGACACGATGTCGACTCGTGACTAAATTTAACATTTATTTGTATTTTTAGGAATGTTCTTGTTTTTTCCTATATATTCGGTGCTACTGTTGGTTGATTTCAACCAAACCATTTGGTTTGCATATAAACATACAGCATTATATTTTTCTATTTCTTTGCATGCAGTTTTTGTTTAGTAGGTAATATAGTTTCCTTCCCATGACTCCATGAGGATTTGAAAGTGACTTTTAACGGAAGTACGGCATATGATTTTTCGTGGATCGAGGCATCCAGCATAGTGTCATCAAAACAATTGAAGAAATTGCCATAAACCTTTCGCATTTTTTGTAGTTTTAGTGCTTGTTCCAGTTGTGACTAATCCGGAAAAAGTGGTATGTTGTGACGACGGTAACAGACTTGCTATAAGTTGTTTGAACCAGGGATGGATTTACTGGGGGGTGCGCACCTCCCTAGTCTTGGCCAGAGGGGGTGCAGGGGGTGCTATTTTTTATGATAAAGCAAAAAAGACAAAATGAGATACAGTAATTTGAGTCATAACATGATGATAAGTGAACTGTGAACAATTCAAATTCCAATACAGTAGTTGATGGGTGGGCGGCACATGTGACCGACACAACTCGGCAGTCGGCACCAGAGCACCCCCCCACCCCCATCCCCCCCCCGCCCTACCAGATCATGCTGGATCCATCCCTGGTTTGAACAGGTTGCTACTAATTTTAAAGATAAAGAGCAGAGCCCAGCAAATAACTTTAAAACCAAACATAATAAAAGTAAGAATTTAATTAGCTAACGTTTCGTTGTTTACAATACAACATCTTCAGAGCAATCTAAATTAATTTACAGGGTATGGTATATATATTTACAAAATAATGGTTTAATATTACAAAAACGGTTACATAGTTTGAAAGAACAAATGAATAGAAAGAAAGGAAAACAACTTGTTAAGAAGTAAAGATTAATGTTAAGTGCATGGTTAGTATAGTTAAGGTTAATATTACATAACTAAAATAACTCAAGAGGGGTAGATCTATTAAGGACAGGGTTAAGTTGAGAAATTAATAGGCTTTCACGGATAAGAAGATCCCACTCAGGAGTGCCTGATGATAGAATTTTGAAATCAGAAGCGGAGACTGGGTGTTTGTGCATGTGTTTGTGAGCGAGGATACTAGACATGGCTGAGATAGAGCGTTCTTTTCCAGTCAAAGGCGAGACTCCCATATGCTCTGAGATAGTGTGTGAATGCATGTGTCGGCGTGTTTGGCCAACATACAATGCGCTACAGCATTGACACGTGAATTGATACACAACATGTGATCTCAGGGCAACTACTAGCTGGTTCATAATAAGTTGCCACGAGCTTGAAAACTGAGAATTCTGACCTAGAAAAAAATTCTTGCAAAATTCTTATTTTAATTAAGCAACATTTTGCTTCAAATAAGAAAAACGTGAGAAAATATTCTTATCAAGAATTAATTTTACTTAATTAAAATAAGTAAAATTGTTCTAAGCAAGAATAATTGTTTTCCTAAAACAAGGAAACGTTCTTGCTTATATTCTTTATACCAAGAATATATATATATATATATATATATATATATATATATATATATATATATATATATATATATATATATATATATATATATATATATATATATATATATATATATATATATATATATATATATATATATATATATATATATACTAAATCATAGTCCGTACATGGCTCCAGTTTACACTACTTTAAAACTACGACATGTAGTACGCATGCGTATTCGAGATATGACTTACTTGACTCACTTCCCTTGTTTGAGCACTCTGGCCCCATGACAGTCTCTTAATTGAAGCAAGGAAATAGTTTTTGGACGACACTAATGCATGTCTCAACACAGACACAGTATTATTTTTATTTTTATTAAAAATCTAAAACCTGAATTAAAACATCGTTCGTATCTGCATATCGTTCATTATCTTTTTCTGTCAGTTTCTGCGCCAGCTGTTTAAGAAACATTTGGCAATTGGCATTCAATCCATCAAGGCTGACATTTACGTACCTTATGTCGTTCAGTGTCATGTTCAGTGCCCGTATTGATGACGAGCGTTCAAGTGCGACGAAAACGTAAAGCAATCGCGCGCGCATCAACTAGACTCAGAAACACAACAAATGCATTCTATTAACAAGTTAGATATATTTTTTACATATATTGTTAATATTTTTTGAATTATTTCGTTATTAAATATTATAACGGTTAAAGGGAAGTCAAGTCCGTTCTGCGCATCGGTTCTGCTCATAACAATGTGAGGACCTCTAATGAGTATTGTGAACATTGCCCAAATTTCGAATGTCTCGGATTTTTCTAAACATAAACTCTATTTCATATTCATTTAGAAACATAGCGAACCAAAATAGACCTTATTCATAAATCGTGACGAGGCCTCGTATCCTAGGATACGGGAACAAAACGCGGGAAAACAAGCGAAAACTGCTTCAGTCTGCTTGACAAGCCAAATTCAGATGCTATTGTGTCGACTTTGACAGCTTATTTCTTGTTGCTTTTTGCGATTTATAACGATTTTTGTGTGTATTTTAAGACTTTGTGCCCACAACGAAAGCGGTAAACGAGTATATTATAAAAGCGACCGGTTTTTCTCCCGTTTTTGTGTGGAAAAATGACAACGTAGCGATGGTGTTTATCCAGAAGCGAAAAACAGTATTTTACTGAGATTTTATCGTCAATATAAAGGTTATTCCGTGAAAAATCAAGACAACTATGGAATGGAAGTATAATTTTTCGAATTTGACATAAATATGAAAGAAAATAACAGTAAAAAATCACAAGAGAACGTCAAATGTTATTGATTCGTACGGAAAAATATGAACTATGGCTGTGGCTCGATAACATTCTGCAAGCAGCTTACAAGTTTAAAAAATGAAGGCTTCATTACCTGAGTGAGTTGTAATCTTATTTCTTCAACAATAGTTTCATATTTCTTACGATTTTGGTGTTGTATAGACGTTTTTGTAGCCTTGTTGGTTGTTTGTTTTGCCCATACAAACAACGACAATAATACAAAGTCAAAGGTTTTCTTTTTCGATTGACTCCAGCATCTTTTGCTTTAAATATCATGTTATATTTTCTCAGAAGTATTTTTTTCAACTTTCACGCTCAGTTTTATAGATATTATTTTCGAAAAAAGCCGTAATATTGATGAAAAAAAGCTGCCATAGCCGACAGCAAAAAAAACATTTTGTCAATTTTCCCGCGTTTTTCCCCGTTTCCTAGGATACGAGGCCTCGATCACGATTTATGAATAAGGTCTATGGTGTTAGATATATTCAGACAGTACATCATATTTTAGAAAATACAGCAGTTCAAAATGTAAACAAACCGTTGTTTGTTTACATTACGGACTTGACGTCCCTTTCAACATTCCGTATATAAAATATTCAAAATATATAGACCATTCAGAGATGGGGCCACCTGTGGTTCAAGTGTTCAACAATGATAGTAGCAAAGAGCCAAAGACAAAGCCAAAACAGACAACGACTCAGAACTAAAGACAGAGTCATCCATTTTGTTCGATAGAAGCCTTTCTGCTCACTTTTCTGGCGAAGAAATAGGAAGTCAAAGCCTCAAAGGGAAGATCTTAGATCTAAAGTGAGTAAATTTGTTCAAAATGGGCCGTTCATTTGGTGATAATTTATAGGCATGAGGTTATAAAATATATATATCTAATTTACTACGGTACTGCCCAGTATGCATACTATCGTTTTTGCCCGCCACATTCTAGTGATTCTCCCAGCAACATCCTTTGTGAAAATTTCTTTTAAGACAGGAGTGGATGCGTGGATCTACTGTGTGCCTGCAGGGGGTGTGCACACCATATAGTGTTTCTGGCACCCCCTAGAGAGGTCCGCCACTCTGTTTAGGGAAGCCTCACATATCGATTTTGTCGATGAGAAACGTCATATGTTCGTTTCTCTGGAGACCCACCCCCCTTAGAAACGTCACACATAGTTATCTATATTTTGTTCAATATTGTATACATATAGCAAGGTAATTTTCTACGGTCGGCTATTGGCGATGCTTCCGTGAGAAATATGTCATCTTCTGCTGACATATCTTTTTTTATTACTATATATGAACTTCAAATTTTCCAACGTTTCTCAGAACAACTTTTTTTGCATGAAATATTGATAATTTTAGCGTTAAAAATTGAGCCTTTTCAATGCAAGGAATGCGTATAATAATATAAATGTATACATAAATAACAGGTATGGCATTACGAATGTATAGACTAGTGTTTGTATCAAGACTTCAAGTTGCCATTTCAGTCTTTTATACTCTGCAAAGATGATTCCGAAATGTTAAGGCTTTCGAAAAAACTATCGAATTTTTCCATGATGTTTACAGAGAAACGTCACAGGTGCAACCCCCCCACCCCCAAACGAACATATGACGTTTCTCATGGACAAAATCGATATGTGAGGCTTCCTAGCTTAAAGACTGAAACGATTTAATTGATTTGTGAGCTCATAGGAAAATACTAGCAAATAAAATGCTTTAGTTAAATGTCATGTTTGAGTGTGTAAATTAAAAGTAACATGTTTGTTCCCAGTTCGATTCCCACCGTGGTCAAGCATATTTGCCTGGTGTGGATATACAGTCAGGCAGTATAAACATCACAAGCATCATATTCACCTGAGTAATTACACCAACACAGAAAAAATCATGTTGAGGTTGTTAATTGTTATACATGCAGCCATATTTTCAAATAAATTTTAACAAGCAAAATTACTGTACTGTGCTACGTACAATACCCTAGTTCCAGAGGTTTTTGTTGCTGCAAAGGAACTGCAGAAGGGAACCTCCGGTGGCAAGCAATGTATCAGTATAATATTTTGTCATGATATCGATGTTTAGATGTTTACTGTAAAACTCCGCCATATTGTTGTTTTGTGTGTCCACATTTTGTTTAATTTCTTGTTAACATTACATGATGTCACTCTGTTCCATATGATTTTTTCATATTCAACGAGTATATTCAATGAATGTTATGTCAAAACTCCATATTTGGTCAGCTATTCAGTCAATATGACGATTTCACAGTTGGCTGTTACGGTTAGCCAATCAGGACTCGTCAATCTTGTAAATAAATAATTGCTGCGGAGCGAGCGAGCCTGAAGCGAGTGAGCGTAGCAGCAGCCTAATATGTGCAGAGAGGGGGTTTTGAACTAAATTTTATTAAGCACATGGAATTGTGGTCGTGTGCGCTTTCTATGCGCAGAACACAAATTTAAAACTCGCTCGAGTCTTCGAATTTTTATCGAATTTCTAAAGGTTTTTCAAGTCTAATGTTACGCTTACAAACATTTGTTTTGAACTTTGGCCACTGTCAGTTGTATATTTTTATAACGTTTTGGTTTCTTAGTGTGATAAGTCTGTGTATATAGTCTATATAATGTGGTAAATGCGCCTAGCAGTAAACAGACCTGATATGAAATCTGATCTTAATTTACCTGTATGTCAATGAGGAGTGTATCTAAAAGTCGAGAGTATAGGTCGAGAGTCGAGACTAAAAGTCGAGAGTCGAGAGTAAAAGTCGAGAGTAAAAAGTCGAGAGTCGATCGAGAGTAAAAAATCGAGAGTAAAAAGTCGAGAGTCGATCGAGAGTAAAAAGTCGAGAGTCGGCAAATGTCATCAGAAACAACAAAGTCAAAATATTTTAACACAATATATAACCGATCCGTAACAACGGCTGATTATAGCCGTACGGGCGAGGGGGGAGGCAGTCCCGCCCCCCCCCCAGTCAAAATAAAGTCATGCAAATTATAAACGTATAAATTCGAGCAAAAATTAGGGGAAATAAATTTAAAAAGAAGACAGTACATGCAATATGGTATTTGAAAATACCAGAAATATGTAAAAGTAACGAGGAATCGACAAATAGGAAAATATTTTTGTCTACTTCCCAGTTTGGACGTTTAGTTACACGGAAAATTTTATTCAGTGGCTTTATTCTGGCTCCCTGATTTTTCCCGCCCGTACGCCTATGACGGCTGAACTAATTTCATTTCCTGTGTATCGGAACACAAAGCAAACAATATTTGCGAAACATAATTTAGTATGCTCAAATTCTCGAAATTAAAGCAAACAAGAGGCATATACAATCAAAGGAATAATCCAGTAATAATATAAAACAAAAACTTTCGCAAAAATTTAGCCACAAGGCACAACATTCAATAATAATAACTATTATCTAATAACTAGTTTTATCGCTTCCTTATATATTACTGTCCATCCTTCCCGCTTTTACGTGTACCTATTTCCGCGAAAAATTACTCATATGTGAAGCTACATATAAATACTACGACTTTACAATCACGTGCGAGACATATTACCACCCGATAGAGTCACACATACGAAAAAAGAATCCTATTTTTACTGGTTCGTCGTATTTATGAATTCACAATTGTATGAATCGTTAGATTGTGATCAACGTGGATTTCTTAATACGCTCTCGTTTGAGTGTTTGTTCGTTAATGAATAAGTGACATTTTAGTTACAAGCCTGGAGATGGCTGTCCAAATTCAGCGGAGTTTATGTCTCAGTTTAGCCTGCGTGGCAGGCTCAATGAAAGTCTCAGTTAGAATGAAGTTTATAAAATAACATGTATATAACGCGTATTCTGATTGGTCGAAAGCCGTGTTTGGATCAGGCCATCCAAACACGGAAGACTACCGTGTTGTTGTTATTTTATAAAACAATTACTTTATGGTTTCCGTGTTTGGATGGACTGATCCAAACACTTGGGAATGTTGCCCGAGTTAAGAAAAGCGGGCAAAATCACTCGCCTTCGGCTCGTGATTTCGCTCGCTTTTCTTAACTCTCGCAACATTCCCGCGTGTTTGGATCAGGCCATCCAAACACGGAAACCATAAAGTAATTGTATAGTGAAAACATTTACAATAGCAAGATTGAGGCATCAAATGCGATATTATTTTCTTATCCAATCTCTTTTGTTCACGTTATTATTGACTGTTGTAGCAATATTTATTGGAAAGTTTGTATTTCAGGCCTTTCAGCCGTTGGTACTTGTTACGGAATGGCTATGTAAAGTTATATATAGATTGTGTTAAACGTGGTTAAAAATATTTTGACTTTGTTGTTTCTGATGAGTGATGACATTTGCCGACTCTCGACTTTTTAGGGGCTGATTACATGGAGAGTTTTCAGCCCGGGCTGAGTTTCAGCCCGGTTAAACGAGCTGAAATTGCATCACGATTACATGAGCAGTTTCAACTCGGGCTGAGTTTAGTCAGAGCTATATTTATCATCAACCCGGGCTGAAATGTCAGCCCAGGCTGAAATAATCTGAGTGTCACGAAATAGGTCAATAAGCGTGTTACGCTTCTTTGACACTGGTTAGTCCAGTATTTGACTTGTGTGAGACTATGATTATATGTAAAGTATTTAAAAATTAAACAAACACGCAAAATAAACCATTTAAACGGTTATAAAGTTTGTTCGTTCACTGCAACCAGGTATATCAATCATGTTTCGCTCGTTACTCTGGTTTAAATAAATTATTACAAAGCCCAGTCGAATTGTAATCAAGACCCAACGTTTCGACACTCCAGTCTAGTGTCTTCATCAGGGGTGATCTAAAACTGCGATCGTGGCTTCTTAAATACCCAAGGGATGACGTCACATGCCAAGAAGATGCATATATTCTTCTGGCAAATAGGCGCCGTCATCCCTATTCAAAGCATGATGACTCATATTTATATGCCACGCTTCTAGGCAAAGTCTTTGACCATAGCGATTGTTTGTGGTAATTACTTTAGAGTTTTCCCACGCAATCTCGTGTTTGGTGTAACATACATGTTCGGCTAAAGCTGATGGGTTTGGGTATTTAAGAAGCCACGATCGCAGTTTTAGATCACCCCTGATGAAGACACTAGACTGGAGTGTCGAAACGTTGGGTCTTGATTACAATTCGACTGGGCTTTGTAATCATTTATTTAAACCAGAGTAGCGAGCGAAACATGAGAACATGGTTTGTTCACCATTTGGGCAATTCTCGTGATACACGACGACTTTGTTTATCCAAATTCCATTTTCGAAAGAGGCGCTAACCCCATGATCGTTGCCACGAGAGCGGCTCAGCAACCAGGCCTCCTCGTTCCAAAACACTCCATCAGGGGGGGGAGGAACTGGACTGGAATGAGGGGCTTTCAAAGCAAAACGATAAAACACGCAATATAAATAGAAATGATTACTTTATCATGCTGTATTCGACAATAAACAAGTATTGAATCAAGTCCTATTTTTAGAAGCATGAGAAAATTAGAAATATCTTGTTATGAACTTTTCCTTACATATTTTTTAGAACCAAAATGTTATCTACTTATTATAACATTTAGCTTTTGACAATCATACCAATCTTTTTAATTTTAAAATATTGAACTTGGCTGCGTTCAACCGTATGTCTTAACATTTATATTGTGTGTTTTATTGTGTTGCTTTGAAAGTCCCTCATTCCAGTCCAGCTCCTCCCCCCCCCCCCCGATGGAGTGTTTCGAACGAGGAGGCCAGGTTGCTGAGCTGCTTTCGTGGCAAGGATCATGGGGTTAGCGCCTCTTTCAAAATTTGAATTTTGGATAAACAAAGTTCGTCATGTGTCACGAGAATTGCCCAAATGGTGAACAAACAATGTTCTTTCGAAAGAGGAATGTTCATACTATTAGGCGATGTGAAATTTATTGCTCTGCAACGATTCTGACACAACAAATGCATCCTATTAACAAGTTAGATATATTTTTTACATATACTGCTAATATTTTTTTAATTATTTCGTTAAGTATTATAACGGTTAAATACTCAAAATATATAGGACATTAGAGTTAGGTTTAGAGGATAGGGAAAGGGTTAGCTGCGGGTAAGTTTTCGGTTTTATTGTGTGATATAAACACTGCCATTTAAATTTTAAATGAACCAACCAAAGCAATTATTGGGACAAATAGCCGAAGCTTGTTGGTTTCTGTGACCGAACAAATAACGACTTTGTAAACTTTAATTATTTTTAATCCACCATTAAACCTTGTAGCATGCAGGCTTACTTCATATTTAACTTTTTCACCACTTTCACGAGACTGCCTAGATAAATACAGAAATATATATATAAGGTATCAGGGCAAACAAACCAAATATACTTTTGTATATTCACTACAGATTTCTTACTTGATTTTCTTCAAAGCAGCACTGGCTCCCGTTTCTTTCTTTGATCGCCTACCACGGCGTGTAGCCACAGATTCTAGTCATAAATATAGGTACATAATAGTATTAAATTATTTTGACTCAAATGATACAATATGCAAGTTAACTCTTAATCAAGTTTGGCTCTTTTATTTCGGCATTACAATGTGGGTTTTTGCTATGAATATAAAAGTACATATACAGCAAACATCTGTAGCTTGTGCAAAGTATAAAACGACAGTAAATATAGCAGTAACCTACCAATTTCCAGTGAACTGTCATCGACACTTTCACCTTTCGTTGGCGCCATCTTTGTTCTTAAAATTTTGGCGCGAAATTAGGAACCTTGGTACCATACTTGGTACATGTAGGGATAATTTGCCAACATGAAAGATGTTATAGAAATGCGGGTTGCGGAGAGCGGATATACCGATATACCAAACCATATACGATCCTTATCATGGCGTATGTAATGGAATAATGCGTGAAAGATGTCACATTTCAAATTTTGCCATGAACCGATGAACAGGAATAGTGGCGTCAGCAGTCGTTTTCGTGCGCCAGAGCCAAAGAGCCAGACAATCGACTACACACGTAAAATCGCACAAGTTGTAACCAGGTTGTAACAAACATGCAGCAGACTTGTAGCACAGATTAATTAAGGTTACAGAACATCTTTGAGTGATAATTTTACCTAATTTTTTTTAGTTGTTTCCATGAAAGCATGAAAGCATTAGACAAGTTCTACTATCTGACCAAGTTTGAACGAAAAATGTTGAAAACTCGCAGAGTTATTTACTGTCGATGCAATAGAAGTGTTGATAAAATATTGCATCAATTCCTTTCCTCAAGTTGAACAATTCATTTGATAGAAAATTGATCAACTTCCTGTTACTCCTAGATGAGCCAATTAGATTTCGTTTCAGAACCGATTGACCAATAGGAAACGCACAGGTAGTAAAAAGAAATTTGAATTCGCATGAATTGATCAACTTGAGGAAATGAATTGATGCAATATTTTATCAACACTTCTATTGCATCGACAGTAATAATAAAATACATTTCGCTGCAATAAGAAAAACATTGAAAAAGTAATATTCGAATTCAATTTTCTCCGTAACTGGCGTAAGAATTTTACTGCAATTACCGATTTTCAAACGAGTTCATTCTCGTACCCAGAGCCCTTCTTACGCGCGGTGCGACGAGGGGCTCTGGCCAAATCCATAACTGGATACCATAATACCATAGTTAAAGACGTCAGTATCAAAGTCGTGTTCGGCTTTTTTCTAATTTTGGATATTTTAATAATAAGGTCAGTGTAATTCACACAAACGATTCAGAAATATATTGCAGTCGTCAAAGAAATCGCTATATCAATAGAATGACGAAATAAACAAAAATTTCCGAACCCTACTTTTTAGAACAACTATTTTGCTGTATAAAAATGATATTATCATAAATATATCTTAAAACCAGCATGTAGGAACACAACTCAAAAGCGTAAAGGCACCGCGATTTAAGATTTTCCTGAATAATTCTTACATTATTTTTTACAACTTTATCACATTTTGCATGAACTAGCGAACATTTGGTTAAAATTTAATGAAAATTGGACTGATTTTGAGCAGTAGCGATTTTCGGCAAAACGCCAAGAAGGGCATCCTTATGCATGTAACCTTAAGTATTAGTTCTTAATCTGTGTTTGTAGGCGTGCAGCAATGCTGTTCAACAACATTTCAACAGAATGTTTTCGCACTGCTTGTCCCCAGCTTGTTGACAAGTTGTCAACGACTTGTTGACAACTTGCTACAAGGTTGTTGAGTAAACTTGTTACAAATTATTCCAACGGCTTGTTATCGCCCTGCAATTCAACAATTTGTTAACAAGTTGTAACTGCATGACAACTTTGAAGCAAATTGATAAAATAACAGCATTGTTACAAGTTGTTGACAAGCTTGCTACAAGCGTGTTGGGAAAACATCGATCTTGTTGACAAGTTGTGAGATTTTTACGTGTGTAGTCGTATCATGTAAATGGATTATGGACCTTGTGATAGTCATGTCAGCCAATTTTAGATTTTGTCTAGCTTAGCACCATCCTCGTTCCCAGGCTGAGAAGCCGTGGGAACGAGGATGGCTTAGCACACATTTGATTTGTTGAACAGGTAGATTGAACGCATTTGATTGGTTAACGGTAGCGATAGAGGAAGTCAAAATCTGAACATCTCTAATATGCGCGGCCAGCGGTGGTGAATAGTCGGACGAATCGTAGCCGCGAATTGAAAGCTCTGTCAAAGTACGGGTAGAGATTCAAGAAGCTATTATATTGATAGGCCAAACCCTCAAAAAGGAGTGTAATATCCATGAAATCCATAATTACGCATGCGCATGTGGACAATTACGTGAATTGCCATAGGTACGATTGCGGGCTTTTCCCTGACGCAGAAAAGGTCCCCCGGCAATATCGGTAATTTTATTAGGAATCGAAATACAAGCTAAGAGATGCTGATTTTTATATCAGTCAAATTATCATTTAATATTTTTTATAACTGAAAAAGAAATAATTTTTTCGTCTACTTACCGCGCCTTTTATGGTTTACAGCTTTCATATTGCATCGGTTCCAGGAGGATTCAATCACGTTATTCACGTCGACGTTAAAATATTTTGTAACTGGTGAGAATTTGAACCCTTTGTGGTAATGGAGGCTATGTCTAAAGCTAATTCTATCTTAATTAAGGCTGAGTGTCACTTAGGAAAGATACCTTACTCCTTGGCTCAAAATTTGAATTTTACTTTTCTGAAAACGTCCAATTAAAATATATGCAGAAGGGCCTCTTTTAGAATTTGTCAGTGGAGGGGCCATCAAGAGAAAGGGACCCAACTAGGAGTTGGCGATCTTGAAAAGTGGGAACGTGGCTGGCCCAGGAAAATTTTGTATTGTTAAGTATCTGGGGCAGGATTTTCGGCATTTGTTAGACACAATTTTCATACCGCTGGACAAAGATTTGATCATGGGAATACTAAAAACTCTTCTTTAATAATTAACTAAGTTATGCGCGCTATTGCACCTGAATTACTCTGTGTATGAACGAGATTCGTATTCGGAACGCCCATGCAAATTCACGCAATTTACCAATTTGACAGCCTACCTATGTAGGCATATTAACTCTTCAATACATGCATGTAAAGTGGTGTTTTCCCATGTATAACACTTACTGAAACCCACCCGAGCATTTTTTAACTATATAAACTCTTGTGTCAGAAAGTTGTCCCATCTTTTGCTGTCAGGTTATGAAGATGTCCCATTTTTTCTTAACCAGTGGAAGCTTAAAAGGAGTCTTATATTATTCTTTACCTCACAACGCAGGTGCGGGGGTAAATTCCGTAAAATAGTTAAATTAAGACAATGGTGTCAATGCAGCTATTGTTTTTGGAATAATATGTAGATATATCTTGGTGAATATGGTGAAAACGTTTGTGCCAGATTCATGTGCGCACTAGGGCCTAGGGAATGGCGGTATACGTGTATAAGCTTTTGAATTCGCCGCACTTTTTATACTGCCCGGATCTATAACGACGGCAAACAAGTTTCGACGTTTCGAACAAAATCTAGGTTCAATATTATTCACGCTATTCTCTAACAGAAATTATTCACGCTATGCATAACAGAAAATTAACTTATTACTTGCTTGGTTTCACACTGCGTTTAAGCAACTGAACCTGGGTTGATGCGGTCTTGGCTTCACTTTTTTCCCCGTGCAGGTCCTCCAGTAATATAGTATAGCTCAGTGAGTACAGCCCATTGAACTATAAATAAACTGGAAGGCTAACTGCTATGATGAAGGCGAGTGAAGGCCTATGATTTGATGAAGCCAAAATAGTTTTTCTGAGTTATGAGCAGAAATACTTGACCCCAAACGTCGGGCTATATACCAAATTGAAGCTATTGAAAATTGTTATTCGGTGTGGAAATTTCAAGACTTCAGCGAAAAGAAAAACATTTAAAAAATACAAAAACAACTGCAAAACGGCAAACAGTTATCGGTAATTATGTTTGTAGTTTTTCAATCTTTCCCTTTTCGCTGAAGTCTTGAAATTTCTACACCAAATAGCGTTTTTCAATAGCTTCAATTTGATATATAGCCCAACGTTCAGTGTTGAGTATTTCTGCTCATAACTCAGAAAAACTAAAATGCACTGGCTTCAATCCCCCCCCCTGAGTTAGCCTTCCAGTTTATTTATAGTTCAATGCCGAGCAATCGGAGACAAAATTTCCGGCTGTCAGCCGGCGTCAAACGCGCTAATCGGGTGGTTTAAAATGGCCGACGAACAAGAAGAAAGTGTTCCAATCAATAACGTGACAGATTTATTGCCTTTACCTCCTATATCTGACCATGATTTAACAACTCTCTCCCTAAAAGAGATTAACAAACTCTTAAAAGGGAGGAGCGACGAACAAGAGTTAAGGGACAAACGTGCGATGCTCAAGAGAAAACAATCTAGCATCAAAACCAGGTCAAAGCAGAAAGAAGCTATGAAGGAATATGAGGAGAAAAGACAAAGAATAGCAGCTTCAAAACCAAAAGATTGGAAACAACTCTCAGTGAAGCATAGAAAGAAGTTCGAACGGCTTTTAAATCTATGGGACAATGTGACACTAATAAGTGGTTACGGTGTAATTTTTGAAAAAGAGTTCTTAATAGGCAGTGGCAGTTGCGGCACAGAGGTGTACATTTGCTTGGGATCTGACGGGATAGAACGAGCGATAAAACGTTTGCCAAAACAACTGTGTACGAAATTGTTGAAGAATGAACGAAATATCTTGAACTGTACGAATGCAGTCAAGTCGCCACAAATAGTAAATTACTGTTTCTACGATGACACTTCCAGCTCTGATTTCGGTTATTTGATTCTGAACTTATATGAACAAAATCTTGAAGAATTTATCAAGGAGAAAGGCGAAACGATGACAGAATCCTATCTTCGAGAGATGATACGTCAAGTGTTGGAAGGGCTGAAAGCATTACATACTAGAGACCCTAGAATTTTGCACAGAGATTTGAAGCCCACCAATGTACTTGTTGATGTGAGGGGTGGTTTAGCACTGTCTGATTTCGGTATTGGAAGGGTTCTTCCTGAAGGAGGTATGTACAAAATATGGTAATCCAAGGAATAGGGCACATTTTGGTGCAATGCTGGGGGGGGGGGAGGGGTTGAACTTAAAAATGGAGGTGCAGTCAATCTGGCCCCCACCTATTAATCCTAGGATGTTAAATTTTATTTGACAAATTTTATGTGTCAAAGATATTTTGCATGTGTAGCTGATAAATTTGTAACAAATTTAGTGTGACAAATGCATTTGAACACAAGCTATCATGCTAGCTTTTGATCAAATGCATTTGATCAAATGAAATTTGTCAAATAACATTTGCTTGTGTAAACAGGCTTTAGCATTGAATCATATCGTCATGTTACTCGTAATGAGCGTCAAGATGGCGCCATATTGGGGTAAAGGTGGTATATTGTGATTGTCATATCTTCTAAACGAGTTCGGTGACCCCAACTTTTTTGTGTGATTTACTTTAAGTATATCATAAACTCCATGCCTGGGAAGTTTCAGCACATTCTCATTTCGGGAACAATTACTGCGGAATTACCTTATGTAAGGCCCGGTTTAGACGCCGTGCTTTTCATGAGCCAAACTTAATTCTCTATTTTACTCGAGTAAAATATGCGTACTTCTAATTTTGATTTAGACAGGCGTGCTTTTCATGAGCCGTACTTAATAATTTGCGCTGCTTCACTTCGAAAGCTGGGGCGAGTGACATTTTATAATAAGAAAAAAGGGTTTATCACATACAATCTTGGCATTTCTGAGCGTCTACAGGTTATTAAAAATTTCAACTGCTTTTTGAAAAGCTTTATTACTACAAACATACATAATGCCTGGATATAATGTGTGGGAAAACGAGACCTATACTCTATAGGCTTAGGGCGAGTTTTTCCACGTAATTGGAGTTCTTCCAAACTACTACAAATGTTTCTATTGTATGGGTCACACATAATAAATGTTTTATATTTATTTCATAATATAACTAAAAAAGATTTGTAGTAGACTCGATATATTTACAAATTCTCATTAGGGACTGGTCATAAAGTAACTGCTAGGGAGGGCTGGAAATAAATCACAAATTTTGCCAATAAGTTCGGTAACCCATCTTGGGATGTGGATAAAAATTTCAAAGCCCATCTAATCTTACAGAAAATTTTTCATGACCCACCCAATCGAAATTGTGAAAACTTTTATAATAAAAGGTCTGAAAATTGTAAATATATACCGGCACTATATTGACATACATAATTCCACCAAGCTGGTTGTATTTGCTGTGATTCGACCACTTCTTGTTGTTGTATAAACAAAGTACTGGCTTCAATAGCATCATTTGCATTTGATAATTTGGATAGTTTTGTTTACTTTTATTATTAATACTGTTATTTTTTTAAGTAGACATGCATGGGTGGTTTTTGTTTGGTGGCCCAACCGTGGACATACAAAAAAATTGGCGGCCCATCGAAACTGCCCAAAGATTTTCCATGGCCCATCCCAAATCACTCCAGCCCACCCTAGCATTTACTTTATGACTGGTCCCTTGCGTAATAATGCCGACCTTTGCTCTGTCAATTTCACTGCAAGAAACCCTTTTTGCCTTTGTCAGCAAATATCGCTATCAGCCTAATTTCGCAACTTTTATGCAAAGAATCTAACGAAAGGTGTATCCTTTGCTGCAAATTGACGTATATAAAGAAAAGAAAGGGAAATTCTACCGCGATATTTGCCGATAAAGCAGTATTAAATCACTTGCTACAGAAAAAATAGAACAAATTACAGAACTACGAAACAAGCTGCGGAAGTGGGAAGGTTTTTATATTTTGACTGTAACAGTTACAAAATGAGCTGAGTAAGTTTTTTTTTAAGTTTCTTAAGGTAAAATTGTTTTTAAAGTTTCTTAATTTGCATTAAAATTGTTTTATTTACGATTGTAAGTTTCGGCGGGAAATTTCCCGTGTAGAAACACGCTCCTCGACCAATCAACGCACGCGTACTATAAATGCTCTATTTTATCATAATTTATGCATTTGGTACGGCTCATCTAAAGCACGGCAGTATAAATCAACATGTGCTTCAGCCGTGTAGCACGCCTGAACCGCGCGAACTTATTAATTTAGCCGTGCTTAATATTAAGTGCAGTGCTTAATTGATTTAGATGCCGTGCTTCTCATGTGCTTAATTAATTCTATTAAGGGGCGGACCATTAGGAAAGTGACGGGGGGGAGGGGCATTTTCAACGTGCACGAATTTTTTTTCCAAACTTTTTTGCTGTATCCGTTTTTTTTTTAAATAATCCCTTGCTCGAATTTTATTTTTTCCCCAAAAATTGTTGGCGGGGAACATTTTTTCCGGAATGGAAAAAATTTTTCAGGACAAACAAATAAAAAGGTCAAAAAAATTTTTTTCGGACTAACACTCAGTTTAATTAAGGTTTAAAACACATTTTCCCCCAAAAAACTTCTTAAAACACGATTAAAACGCTTATTTTCCAAATTTGGGGGACAGGCCCTGTAAGGCCCTGTAATTTTCCCTATTGAAAAGTCTCTACACGAATTTTTTTTTCAAACATTTCTGGTGCACGAATTTTTTTTCTTTCTATTTTCTCTGCTCGAATTTTATTTTTGCTTTTGCCCTACCCCATCACTTTTCTAATGGTCCGCCCCTAAGTTCGGCTCATGAAAAGCACGGCGTCTAAACCGGGCCTAAATTATAATTATAACTTAATCTTTTTCTCAGCGTATTTTCCGTGCCTTGATCTTGCAGGTCCTATCCCTCCAATATACAGACTGTATAGGCATAGCAGGTACTCAGAAGAGCATCATGCTTTAAAATTGACGCTCACGGCCAAGTTGGGAAAGTAACCGCCTAAAAATAAACCATGTTAATCTTATAGTAACTATAATTATTAACCAAATATTTTCCTAGAAGTACCATGCACTGTACCAAACGCTTCACGGCTTCAGTAAGTCATGTTCTAAAATAGTCTCTAAAGGCCTGATTCCACGGGCGCATTTTCTCGGCGAAATGCGAAATATTTTGCCTGTTTCTTTTGAACTGCGACCACTGGAATAAATTATTTCTACTTTATTGCCCACAATTCAAAAGAAACAGGCGAAATATTTCGCATTTCGCCGAGAAAATGCGCCCGTGGAATCAGGCCTTTACTCGACGAGCAATGGCACAACTACATGAACATGCTACAGTAATTCAATTACCGTTGTCCCCTGAAAGTCTATGGCTGAAAGTCAACTCACGAATTCGAAAAATCCGGCCGAGAGGTCGGAACTCTAAGCGATAACAATAGACCAGCATACATCTCTCACCTAGTGCTTCTTAGGGGCCGATTACATGGAGCATTTTCAACCCCGGGCTTGAACTCAGCCCTGTTAACCGAGTTGAAATTTTTTGCGATTACATGGACGATTTCAACTCCGGGGGTGAAACGTAATAGTGTAATACTATACGTTCTCGGCATCGATTCGCGAAGTAAAAAACCCTTTATTTTGTTTTCTTGTAATAAATAGTCACTACCACGTATGCTCGAATAACTCATGATAATTTCAGCCCTGGGTTGAAACGATTACATGACAAAATGTTCAACCCAGGACTGAGTTCAACCCCGGGGTTGAAAATGCTCCATGTAATCGGCCCCTTAGGCCTGTTTTTATATATTTATTAACTTCAGCCGTCAACCGAAATATACATATGCAAACAGGAAGACGGTTCAGGAACAGTAACACA